CTCACTGTGGCATCCTGGCATCCACATACTGCAAACTGCTTGCCAATGCCCTGCATTCAGTTCACAGACATGTTGTTTGGCATGAATACTGTTTTCAAAAATTTAAATTCATAGTTGACATCTGTGACTTATGAGAATTTCCATGAAATTCTGGACTTGGGGCTTTTAAATATTGCATATTTGATAATTCTGCCCAGTTTTCTGTATGGGAGAAGTAGGTTGGGGCTAAGTGTTTCTTGGATAGGGAATGCTTTTCTGTTTTGCCAAATGGCCTACTCCAAATTCTTGGTCCCTGAAAGCATCTGAATTTGGAACTTCAAGAGTAACTCCACTTATAGCAGGTTAATTATAAAGTCATTAAAGAGACTTGTTCTTAAGGTGCTGCTACCTGCGATACATGACTTTGCAAGTTGTAATAAAGATTTGTGAGGAGTTTAGGGAAGTTTTGTATAGCATGCTTTTAAAAGGTATGTAAATATTATGTACTACAAACAGGTACTAATTTTAAAAAAAGGATATGATGTGGTTTGGAGTTTTTTCACAAGAGAATTTAAACTCCCTTTGGGGTTGCTTGATCAGATGGATAGTGCTTTAGGGTATGGATCCTGACATTTCCAGGGATTGGACCAGTCAGTTTGTGTGCAGCTGTTCTCTAAAATGTAGCAGTATCTTAGACTAGTAGATTTCAGTATATGGCTCCTGGACTAGCAGCATTAGTTTACTGGGGAACTTGATAGAAATGTATATTCTTAGGCCATGTCCTATTCAATCAGAAACTCTGGGGGTGAGGGCCAGCTATCTGTATTTTAAGCAGCTTTTTAGGTAACATCAAACCAATCTTTTAAGAGCATGAAATAGAGTATTATAATAAAATATAATGTAGTTTATAATTAGGTGTAGTTCACTTTTTATTTCTGAAAAAAATTTAGTAATATTGACCAAGTCAACCTGAGAGGTACTTAAATTCTGAACCTTGAAAGAGGCCTCAAAATGGAGAGTTACACAAGTTATCAAGCTCAGTGGGACAGCTGTGGTTTTCTCCTGCCTCCCACAGCAGGAGAAATGTATGTTCACAGCAGGCTCCCTCTGGCTCCTGGTTTATGTTCTCTTAGTGAAACACAGTATGCTCATTGTGTTTTCAGCCTTGCCCAGGACTTCTGCTTTGGGAGACACTCTATGTCTGCTTAAACTGGACCCCTCTGGCACTGTTCTTATTGCTCTGGAAAATGATGGGATATAGCAAGTGACTAATGTTAGCCATCATTGTTGTTGCTGCTATTTTATTTTTGTTTGTTTGTTTTGTTTTTGTGGTTGTTGTTGTTGTTGTTGGTACCAGGGATTGAACTCGGGTTCTTGTGCGGCAGAACCACTGAGCTAAATCTCCGGCTGTAGCTGTTATTTTAGAGAGCTGGTTGTGTCCACTTAGCTTAAGAAAGTTCAGAAGGCTACATACCCCAGTTTTAAGTCAGAAATCTAAAATATAGGAAGATGTCGTGTTAGGACAGAATTCTAAAATACGGTGGCTGCAGATTATAATTTGTAACGGTCATGAGGCAACCTCATTACGGAGCAAGCAAGTAGCCCGTAGTATTCTTTCTGTAACACCTTCTCCTTTGTAGTCTTCATCTGAATTGATTTGATCTGACCAGTTTCTAACTTTATTTTTCTATAGTATCCAGTTTTTCTGTGATCTTGAAACTTCTTATGTAAAGCAAAAATAATCTGTAATGGAAGGGCTAGCTCACTGAAGGCCAGAGTTTATGGCATTGCTTTGCAAGTATTCTTGAAGGGCTTGTTGGCCTGCCTGCTGTGGAGGAAACAGACCACAGTGAGGAGGCAGCTGTCCAGAGGGAGGCATATGTTTTCTTGGGATTAGGACAGATTCTGAGAAAATGTCTATGGGGCTCATTCTTAAAGTCAAATGCAGTTGTCTCCAAACCATACCTTTCTTTCCCTGCATGGTAAAGTTCTCCCGTGAGAGATCTTGAAGGATGAAGTTCATGTCCTCTAAAAGTACATCAGTTATCAGTGTTCCCACTGGGTGGTGTGGTTTCTTCTAGGGTGCTTTGATTATGCAATAAGTAGGATTTGTTTTTCAAGGGAGAGGTGTGTTTAATATTTGAAGGACAAAACATTAAAGAGTTTTTGTAGCTGGCCATGATAGCATATGCCTTTACTCTCAGCAGTCTGGGAAGAAGAGGCAGGAAAATCACAAGTTTGAGCCCAGTCTAGGCATCCTGACAACTTAGCGAGGCTTTGTGTCAAAATTTTAAAAAAGAACTGGGGTGTGCAGCTTAGCTTGAAGGCCCTGAATTCAATCCCTGTAAAAAAAGGGGAGGAGGTTTGTATATTATCCTAGTGATTTAAAACATCAGCTAAATAACTAACAAAATGTTTTATTATCTGTAAAATTTTTCATTGCAGTACCAGAGTATTTCTTCTGTGGTACAGTATCAGTGGTATAAAGCTATGGGGCAGGGTCACCCATTGCGGGAAGTCTGGCTGTGCAAGGAGGGAAATTAGGACGAGGCCACAGTACATATGGTTTTTCTCCATTATCATTCAGTTTGAATTAGTTTTGATTCCTTGAACGAGAGCTCAGCTCTCCGTGAGCTGACCTAGGAGATACTGATCAAGCTTCACTAAGCAGATCATTTCTTGACTGTAATGCTTTTCAACTTAACTGAAAAATTTAATTCCAAAAACATCTGAGCAAGGTAAATGCTAGGAATGCCACTTTTTCCTATATGCTGTACTAGGCAGTAAGCTCAAAAATGAAACAACTCAGTTGCTTCCCAAAGGCAATATTGTAAAATAAATTTTCTAGATAGATTTTATAAGAGACCATTTTTATCTGATATAATTTTTTGAAATCTTACAAGTTTAAAAAATACTTCTAAGGTCTTAAAAATTTATATTATTCTTACTTAGGAAACATTTATTGATATACTGAAAAGTCTCCTTCAGAATTCTGACCTCCAGCTTCATGCTTCCATTCTAAGAGTCTCTTAGATAAGTATCTTATATATTTTAGAACAAGAGAAAGAAAACAAAAAACAAGCATAACCCCTCCCCTCAAACGTAACTCCATTTTCATAACAAATTCCAAAAATACCCCCTTAACTACACCCTCCTCCCAAGCCCTAAAACAAACACAACCAAGAAACGGGCAAGGGTCAGAGAGAACAAGAATCTGAGTTATCAGTTTTGGCAAGAAGATTTGTAGAGTAAATACACTTCCACACCATGAAATGGTAACAGTTTAATATGAAACCTAAATTCTTAGAAAAAAAAAGCATGATAAGAGATAATCCAGACTGAAGATGGGTTGTTGATATTTTCTTCCCCACTGAGTTTTAGGGAGCCAGGAGATGTGGAATGAGAGGGGGGGCCCAGAAGAGCCCTGGAGACCTTACAGTCAGGGCGGCTCGTGTGTGCCCAGGCCATGTGAGGCTGCCTTCAGGTGTTTGGAATTCAGAGATGATGGGAGATGCTTGGGTCTAACGGGCCTTCACTCCTCTTTTGGTAAATCAAACATAACTTATTGATGGAGAATAACAAGTAGCAAAACCAACCCAACAACAAATAGTAGAATTAAATAAAAACGGAAATTTCCAGGTAGTCAGTAGTTCTAAAGTGAGAAAGCAAGGAGACAAATGTCAACTTGGTTGGTAGAGACCTTGAAATCTTTAGAGTAGGTATTAACTCAAGTGTATTGAATGAAACAAAATTACCTTTTCTCTTTTTACTTCATAGGAATGTTTTCATAAATCTGTCAGAAAATGAGAACATTTGTAATGGAGACTGTCTTTGGGTCAAACACAAATTTTTAAAAGTCCAATGAAAAAGGGCCCTACCATTTTCAGAGGATGTGAAAGAATCCTTGGTTATCAGAGAAGTACCCGAAGGGGTGTGAATGGCTCATAGCTGGGATACGTATACCTGTGTGGTTCCATGTGAAAGCCAAAATGATGGAGTTTCCTTCTTAGAATAGACTTAAAAGTTTCTTTTCCTTATAGAAAATAGCATGGTAAAGTATTCTCCGTGGCTTGGGTTCAGAGTATAAGATATAAAAAAGCCAACTTTATGGTCAGTATGAGTTACAGACAATATGAAAATGTACCTGTGTATCTGTAGTTTGAAGACCATTTGTCAGATACTGTAATGGTTTTTGAACTATGAGGAACTGATGAGGTTTAATTGAGCTATATCAGCATTCTCATCTTTCTAGGTATATTTGAGGTTGAATAATAATTTTATTTCCTTAAACAGATGTTTTTATTTGTTATGTATTTTTATTTTTATGCTTAGCATGCATAAAACATACTATGATGCTTACTTTGGGTTTAGCTAAATACTTGCGCATGCAGCATATTGCCTGGCATATAGCAAGTGCTTAACAATTGTTTGAACCCATGAATTTACTGTATGGTGTTATAGTAAGATATATGCTGATATTCTTTTGATGGCTTATCTTTTCCTATTAAACACTTATTTTCAGTTAAATAAAATGGAATTATTACAACACATTCTAAAGAGAAGATATTAATATTGGTGTCTAAAAATTAAAATTTTTAGAGAGAAAGCAACAGACTGGTTAGTACATTAAAAAACAGATTGTAAAATATGAAAAGTACAGATAATTTTTCTTCAAGTGAGAGTGGTGTGTACAGAATGAAAAAGACTGACTAGACTGTATATAAAAGATCAAGAATAAATCAGAAATGGTACTAACTTTGCTATTTCCCACCATATCAGTTTCTTTCCTGGAGATAAGTATGTTTATCAGATTGTCAGTTTTACATCATGCTGGCCTCCAAGAAAGGGAGCTCATCACCCTGGCCCCCAAATGCCCATGTTCAAATGCCATAGAAATTAAAGTTGAAAGTTGTTAAACTTTCCAGACTCTAACACATCTTTGAAAGTCAAGAAATAATGATTATTTTCTGTATATTTTAATGTTGTCCTTATGGTCATACTCTTTTATTCCCTCTTTATAGTCATACAGTTTATCAAGAAAGAAAATTGTGCACTATACCTGTTTTGACCAACGGAAAAGAGCAAATGCAGCGTTTTTGATAGGTGCTTATGCCGTAAGTACTTTCTTCATGATTATTTTTTATAATAAGGACAGTGAAATGCTCACACTTTCAATAAAATCCAGGCCACTTTACCAGTGGGATTCTAAGAGGGGAGAGATTGTTAGCAGCTTGGGAATTGGTCTGCAATTGAAAGTGTGGACTAGCATTGATGGGGTGTTTACTTGCTAGATTTTATTTTATAGTAACTTGTGACAGAATGTTGCAACCACAATGTGTAGCTTAGATTCCACAGTTGTATGTTTTAATAAAAAGACTACCTGGCAAGAACATTTTCCAGGAAAAAAATAGTGTGTATATGTATGTGAAGGGTAAGGGTGGGTAAGAGGGAAAACAGACACGGGCAAAGTATACACAGCAAAATACAAGAAAGTAATTTTTTTCAAAGAAAAAGTAATTTTACAGAAAACTTTTATAATCTGCTAAGGTGGTCCATTTTTGGGAGAAGAAGAAATCTGAGATTGGTATAGAATACTAGAATACTGTTATTTTTTGTCAATCCATTCATCTATTCTATACAAATGTTTGCGGTTAAAAACTGAATACAAATGATGCATATATTACAGTTTCCCACATAAGTAGACAATACCTTTAAAAATGAGTCTTGAGTATAGTTTTTGTTCTCTGCAAATACTAAAATGTCACTAAGAATTTCATATGAACACATTAGAGTTTCCAGAATTTTCTACACATGCTGACTGCGGAAAGACTTGGAAGGCAGAGTCCATCAGCATTAAAATGTACTTGTGACCTAGAATAGCTTTTCAGAGAGATATGTGACATCTAGTTAGCAGTGTGCTGTTTGAGTGCAGGGAGAGAGATATCATTTCCCCTCGTCCTTGGGGAAGGCCAGTGCCTCTCTGAAGCCCGGAAGCACACTTCATGACCTTTCGAGGGCTCATTCTGGAGCCCTTGATGGAAAACCCAGTTCATAGACATCATACTCTGAACATCACACCTGACACTCAGGGGAACAGCTTGAGGGTGCTGTTGGGAAGGCTGTGAACTGTGGAGGGCACAGACCGGGAAGAGTGGTGAGCTGACAGTGGGTGTGCGCCGGAGCCTTGCTTCCAGGACTGAGGTGCCCAGCTCTGCCTCCATCTCCCCTCCATGTGGCTGCAGTAAAGCCTTAAGGTTGCCTAGGGAGCCCTTTTCTTTCTACAGTACAAGGAAGGGTGGCCAAGAATCAGACATGAGCTTTTCATCATGAAAGGGCTCTGTGATGACAGATAAGCCACTTTCTCTCAGGTTTATTTAGTTTATCTGTAAAACGAGAAAGGTTGGATGTAATGATCTCTAAATATCCCATTCTCAGGATACTAGGATTATTTGTAGCACCAGACAGACGATTGCTCGAAAGAACACACATGGAAATATGGCTATTGGCAGGCGATTCAGGGCAGTGCTGGTAAGCTGAATCCAGTAGGCAGTGCTCATTTCTCACTTTTATGTTGATAACTGCTACTCATTTGACTACACTGATGACTGGCACTGTGATTAAAATAAGGAGTGCCTGCACTAGTGTCTGGACTCAAGCCATATGAACAAGCGTGTCTTTCTTGCAAGGATTTGTGATGCTTTGTGAGCATATTATTCATGCATCCTTTGTCATAAAGGATTGCCATTAAGAAGAGGTTATCCATCTGCTACTCTTATTCTTTCTTTCTCCTATATCTCTCCTTTGCTCCTTTCCTTTTTTTCTCACTTATCCTTGATGTTTTCTTAGTGTGGTTCTTCATTTCAGCAGAGCACCTGTAGGATTTTGCAATGAAATAGTTACAGTTGTATAGATGCATTGAGCTTGTGATAAAATACATTGTCTTAAGGCAGAACTTTCTACCACTTTAAAGAAACCAAAGGGAGAAAAAGCAATGCTGGCATGGTGGAAGAAGTGCTGAGCACAGCATGAGCCTGTCTTACATGCTAGTTACAATCCTGATTGTAAAGTGATTTTTCTTGTATTTGTCATTTCCCAATTGATTTTCTTTTCTAATTTTGGAACTGCATTCCCCAGAAAGCTATTTGATAAATATAGCTTAATAAAAATAATATAACTTAATAAAAATGACACTAGGAATTGCAGTCCTTTTTAGAATTTTATGCCTTTCTTCATATCATCTGTGTGCCCTTAATTGTTGACAAAGTCTTGTAAGAAGACGGTAATATGCCTGACACATACATCTCAGTTAAATTTCATCTGTGCTCAGTGTTGCTAGTGGGAGAAGTCTCAGTCTTCTGAGGGAACATTCTCTGGACACAAGGGCCTTTACCTTTGGAGCAGCCACGTAACCTGTGGGACAAACTACGTGAAGGTGATCCTTTCTTTTAATATGAGAATTCACCCTCTCCAAAAAGAATTGACTCATAAAAATATTTTAGACTTAAGACAGCCTTAATCTCTAAGTCTTACTTTTCTAACTGGTTAAATTTGGTCAATTCCAGGGTTTCCTTGTCTACCTCACGAAATTATTCTGAAGATCAAATATCCAATTACCTGTTTGATAGCTCCACACTGTATATCTAAAATGACATCTCAAATTTATCAGTTTTGTTCCTTTTCTCTCTGAATCTGTTTGTTCCCCTAGTTACGCCCCAACCCCCTCCAGAGCTTCTAGTTCAAATTAGCTGCCATTATTGACCTGCTAAATCAAAAGCATAGCGGTCATTTTGGTTCTCTTTGTTTCCTCATTCACATTACACATATTGGTAGGTTTGGTCAGCTGTCCCTGTGCAACACACATCTTTGAAATGGAATACATCTTTCCATCAGCAGGTGTCACCTGGACCAGTCGTGGCTAACCTGCGGCACGCATTACCACCATGGCTTTATACATTGTTTTCTGTTTTCCCTTTTACATTCTTGCTCCCCTTTAATTTAGTTGCCACATAATTGTCAGAGTACTCTTTAAAAAATACAAATTAGAGCTGGGTGTGGCAATATACGCCTGTAGTCCCAGCTTCCTGGGAGACTGAGATGAGAGGATCACTTGAGCCCCTGAGTTTGAGAACTCATCTCCAAAAACAAAACAACAATAATATACACACAAATATATAAATTAAAGCACCTGCTTCAAATCTGACTGTGCACTATTCGTGGCATAAAAATACATCCTCCTCTCCATGCCATTAAGATTTTTTCTGACCTGACTCTGTCTACCTCCATGAACTCCTTTCTTAAGATGGTCCCAGCATGCTGGCCCTCTGACCATGGAAATCTCTCATTTGTTCCCACCAGGAGGCCTTGACATTTCTGGTCTCTCCACATGGAATATTCTTTTATTTATTTTTTGTTACCGGGGATCGAACTCAGGACCTGGTGCTTTTGAGGCAGGCGTGAGCACCATTGAGCTACATTCTCAGCTCCAGAATGTTGTTTTTCAATCCTTTGCATGTCTGCTTCCTGCTAACATTGCTGTCTCAGACTTTCACATTTTACCCTGCTGTCTCCCTTAGTTACCCACCAGCCTACTGCTGTTTTATTTTATTTACCACACTCTGCAATTTGAAATTATTCTGTTTTTGCATCTCTTTCCCAGACTAGAGGGTAGGGACCTTATCTGATTTTTTCATTGCTGTGTCTAGAAGGTGATAAAATATTTAACAAGAGGGTAGGCCCAGGCATTTAGGCCCAGGTGGGGCAGATTCTGGGAGGTTTCTTGCTGTGCTGAATCATTGGCAAGTCTATGATGTGGCGTTGGGGCAAAGAAGGGACTGGTGGTCCATGTGAAAGAGGGTATTGGAGGTAGTAGCTGTTTACCAGCTGCCCTGGAACTATGTCAGTGCTGGAACACTGAGCATCAACATTGGAACTCTGCCAGGCCCCTAGTAGATGGCTCTATAAGTATCTACTATATGAATGAATGATGATGTGATAAAATGTGAGTGAGAGAAAGAAAGAAAGAAAGTAGGTAATTCATAAACAACTCCTGAAAATGATCGATAGACATAAAGTGTAAAACGGTTTATTCTTCATTACCAGAGGAACATTTGTGGTAAAGACTGAGCCAAAGCAAAGAGTCATAGATCAAAGGTAGTACCTGGGGTATAAAGTAATGTCACTTACCTTGCTTTTTTAAAATGAGCTTGTATCTTTATAATTTTTATTGTGGTAAAATACATACAATGTAAAATTTACTGTCTGAACTATTTTTAAGTATGTGATTGTTTAACTGAGAAAATTAAGTTCAGTGGTATTAAGTACTTTTATATTGTCATATACCTATCACCACATCTCACTTTTGAGTGTGATGTCTTGTGGTGTACATGATGTGCCTACGGAGTCAGGGCTTTGCTTGTGGTTTCTCTGTCAGATGATGACAGAATGCTGCAGAAGCTTCTGTGTTTTTGTTTTTTTATCTCTAAGTGGAGAGAGTTGTTTTATACTTCTCTCACGGAGTTGTGATAAGGATCAAAAGGAAGTAGTACAGATCCTCATGTTCAGTTGGGAATCTACAGAGAAGGAAAGCCTTCTCCATGAGTGATCTTAAAGCCAGGATTGCTGGGGTGATGCGGTGATACCTAAGTGGATGACAGGGAGGTCCCTACTCGTGAAGCATCTCTTCACTTCCTAAGCTGTGACATTGTGATCCTCAAGTTCGAGGACTGAAATTTTAAAGAAGAGATCATCTTTGGCAGAAAGATGTTTCCCTTCCAGGACAACACTTGTGCGATTTGTAGAGTTAGGATACATGATAAAATCTAAAGTAGTTTCATATGAGTTTGAAGAAGATGGCTTTAGAAAATAACAAGTATGGATGAATTAGGTACTTATCACATGCTTAAAGGCCAAATTCTTACCCTGTGTTATGATACCATTTAACAGTCAGATCAAGGAGAATTTGGATCCATTTTGATTCAGGCCACAATGACTGAAGAAATGGAAAAATAATATGTATGAGCAGAAGTTAAAATAAATGTGAGATTGTTTAACTTAAGAAAATGAACTTTAGAGTTAGAGTTAAGAATTTTTTCAGATGTGTGGAGGTTTAAATAGA